GGTCAGTTGTTATCACGCAAGCGTGCACAGGGATGTGCTAGTCCTCACAGAGTGAGCCATTAACTGTTGATAACGGGCCAGGACAGCTGGAAACCCAAGAGTCTCCTTGGACACAAAGCGAACCGCGCTGGGCATGAGTTACAGGTTTTGGACAAATAATGCCATGTCACCACCGTTCAATCTCAGGCTCCCAGGCTAACTCCTGAGCCAGCAGATCGCCCGCTGTAGGATCTGTGATCTGTCACTGTTGCCTTGCGGATCTTCTCGAAATGCAAATAGAAGAAAGAGTCTCCCAGTCCATCTCCCCCAATCCTTTCCAGCATCTGACACGAACTTTCAACCCGTCAGTCTGTGTGTGAATGATAAGGACGGGTCTTTATCGACGTAATCCCTAACTGCCGATGGAGGTGTTTCATCAGTTGGGAGGTAAATTTAGTTCCCTGGTCAGTCAGACTTTGTTCAGCCTGCACGGTCACTGACTTTGGCTTTTGATGCCGTTATTGGGCAGCTGGTATCCTGCACTATTTTCTCCAAAAGTCCAGTTGTTTCCACACTGAGGATGTTTCCGTGTTGCTCAGCGGACGCTGTCAGGTCAGGAGTCGGCCGCCTCCCGTCCAGGCTGCCATCGCTGAAGACGGGATCTCCAGACGAGGCCATGTCCAGAGGACAGAGCACAGGGCGATTCGGTGCCCTGCTCGGGGGGAGACTGTAGCAACTGTGTGGCTGAGACACGGGACCTGAGTGGGGAACCTCCCAGTCACGAGGTCTTTAAAGAGAAAATGACCTGCGTGCTCTTTTTCCTTTCAGGCTCTGTTCCACTGTGACCATGTTCAGTACACGCTGGTGCCAGTCAGGGGCTGGCAGGACCTGGAGACAGCCTTTCTGGAGCACAAGGAGCAGGTCAGGATCGTGGCATAATGCTGAGTTTGTGAGGACAGGGTGGTATTTACTGTGTTCTCCTATTTTAAAAAGCGGGATGTTGAGGATCTCTCTGGTGGTAGCTGTTCCTGGATGTTTTGCACCAGAAGTTGACATTTGTAAGGGATGAATGGGAGGAAACCTGTCTATAAACTGTAATAAAACTAACAGGCTACTGCGATCCTGGGTTCGAATGTGGGTCACGTCGCCAGCCGATTCCTCAAGTAGCACATACAGTTGAGTGGGATTAGTCACCCTGTCTGTAAAACAGTGCCCCTTTCTGTCAATGAGGGATGCGTACTGTGTTAAATCCCAACTGTCTCAAAGGTGGGGAAGTGGGAGGAGTCTGCCTTGACTTCCTTATTCTCCCCCGTGTGAGGTCGCAGGATTCATAGCTGTGAGCTGAGGTCTGAAAAACGTTAGATAAAAGCATTAGCCCAAAAATACATAAAACTCCTACAGTACATTACTTTTTATCAATAACATTCATAAATGTGTTTTAAAAAGTCAGAATTTTACTGGTAGCACAGATCCTGAATCCTGATAGGAGCCCGTTCCTTGCCCAAACGCATGGGCTTTGATGTCTTGAGTTTTTCCCCTGGGCTGCTCAAGCCTCGTCTTTGTGTTGCCTCGCAGTTCCGTTACTTTGTGCTGATTAACTGCGGCGCCAACGCTGACCTGCTGGAGACCCTGCAGCCGGAAGAGGAGACCGTGTTCTTCATCTGCGACACGCACAGGCCAGTGGACGTGATCAACGTCTACAACGACACGCAGGTACGGCCGGGGGCAGGCTCGGCACGCACGCTAGGCGTCTTCCAGTGGCGCCCGCATGTGGTCTGAGTTTGGAGCAGGGCCTTTGAGCCACTGGACTTTCCGTTGAGCTGTTCCTTCAAAGACTCCAGGCTGTGAAGCGGAGGTTTGAAGGCAGTGTGGTTTCTAGCCCATTCCTTTGGAGGATTTTAAAAGAATGAGCTTGTTAGATTTTGGTGTGTTTATACTGAGGCCTCCCAAGCGCGTTGCCTCGTCCCTGCTGTTTGCCCACTCCTCTCGCCCCTTGCTCTCCGGCAGATCAAGTTGCTCATTAGGCAGGACGACGACCTGGGCATCCCTGCCTACGATGACATCTTCAGAGACGAGGATGAGGACGAGCAAGACTCCGGGAATGAGAGCGACGAAGGCTCCGAACCCTCTGGGAAGCGCAGGCGTTTCGAGGAGGCAAGTTTCCTCGTTCTTTTCTTCCTTAGTGGCGATTTCAGAGACGGCTGACTCAGCTTCGCTTGGTGGCAGGTTTTCCATCTGAATGCCTGCCGTTTGGTCTTTGTCCTGCTGTTCACAGTGTAATGTAAAATCTCTTTAAGAATCTTGATTTTGTTTTTGTATTTCTTGTGTAGTTTTTTCCCCTGTATTTATTACAGGAAGACCAGTGATTGTAAAAAGTGACCTGTCTGAGTATAAAGGTTCAAATCCACGAAGGCAAACTATGGGAATCCGGAAAATAATACCCCTATTTTTCTTTTTTCCACATCTGTTCCATTAATTTCCGTTAACGCCACAGTCGCGCATCCTGTACCAAGCTTTTAGGGGTCAGTTAAAGCTGGAAAATTATTCCAGTTGGCACATGGCTTTAGGTACTAAAAGTAAGATCTCCCATCTAGAAGCATGTTCCATTAAACATCTTGCATTATCCTGGAAGGTATAGCTAGTACAGGTCAGATTGACAGCTTGACAGGTTGAATTTAAGGTAAAGGACTTGATGTATAAATATTGCCCTCTTGTAGACCACAGGCGGGGATTAAATTTAATTGAATACATCAGCTAAGTAAGAATTAAGGTGGAAGGAGTCAAAGAAGCCTTGAATTGCTGGGTTTGAAGAACATGGAGTGACCCAGCCTGTTGCCTGTGGACCTCCTGCAACGGAGAAACTGCCACTTGAATGTGGGCCTGAGGGTCTGTGGGCTGTGTTGTGACGCGCTGCTCTGTTCCTCTGCAGGGAGCTCTGGAGAGGAGGATAGAGAGGCAGAGGGAGAGGAGGGAGTGGGAAGCTCGCAGGTGGGTCTCTAAGCTTTTTGTCAGTGGGGCGGCAGTGTGGAGGAGGGGTTCTGGGTTCGAATCCCAGGCGAGACGCTGCTGTTGTACCTTTGAGGAAAGTACTGCAACAGAATTGTTCCAGTGAAATACCCAGCTGCACAAATTGGTGCAAATGGATGAAAGCTTCAACCAAAAAATAATTTATAATAAAGTAAGATTGTAAAATTGCTAGTGATTACAAAAAAGCTTAAGTAGGAAAATACAGTATAAGAAACCTTGCAAATGAGGAGGCCATTTAGCAAACTGACCCCAGAGTCTCATCCAGGATTCTTGAAAGACGCCACCACGTGGTTGAATAGCGTGTTCCCTGCTCCCACAACCCTTTGGGTATAGGATTGTCTGCTGTTCAGTGTTGCTTCCACTCCTTCACCCTGGTTGATTCCGAAAACGTCTTGTGAGCTGTCAGCTCTGTCAGTGTCTTGGAGGGTTCTGCATCCCTGGGCCTCGTAACCTTCTCCATTCAAGGCTGAAAATGAATCTTTTTTTTCAGCCCGTTAGTGTTGGAGCACTGTTAAAGCATTCAGGCATGCACTGCGCTGTTCCACAAAGGGCAGTTAATAAAGTCATATGTGCACCATAAAACTGTTACCTGGGATTATGCAGCTTAATGCAAGGTAGTGCCTCTTGAGTGTGCTGACTTCCTGGTTTACTTATCGCAGCATGCAGAAACGCAGACACCTCGTGCTGTACAGCGCAGGAGTACAATGCAGCACCCTCCACTCATCGGACTGCTGCAGCTTCTTTTTAACCCTCTTTTCCACTTCCTTCGTAGGCGAGAGATCTTGTTTGACTACGAGCAGTACGAGTACCATGGAACATCAGTAAGTGTTTACCGAGGACTGCGTCCTGCTTGGCAACAAGTCTTTTATTTTCACAGAGGAGATGGTTTCCTTCAGCATTAAAGCTCCTCTGTTTTTTTTTCCCCCTTGTTAGTCTGCGATGGTGATGTTTGAGCTTGCCTGGGTCATGTCCAAGGACACCAAAGACATGCTCTGGTGAGTGACTGACCTTCCATGTGGACACAAGGACTTTGTAACCAGTAGCTTCAAAGGGCTCTTAGGTGGCATTTACTGACGTCCTTCCTGAGACCCCATCTTTAACTCTTTGAGGTTTCCATATGTTCATCTTTCAGAACACGGGGAAATGGGAAATTCGTAAAGAAGATCCGAGAGCAGATAAACCGTGTAATAATAAACTTCCTTTTGTATAGCGCCTTTAACAGTAGCTTCTCAAAGAGAACTTTTTATAGTAAGAATTAATACAATGATAGGAGATAAGTTAGTACAATAAAAACAAGGCTTTTGCATGTGGTAGAAAATGCCAAGGGGCAGCAACAAACATTAATTAAATAAGAGCCCTTCTAAAGAAGAAGGTTTTGAGTCTGAATCTGAAAGTGCTCGGGGAAAGTGCCTCTCAGATATCCTTAGGGATAGAATTCCAGATATTTGGGGAACAGCAGGAGGAGGGCCCATGATCCACAGAGTGTAGATGGGCTTGGGGAACAGACAGGAGACCAGAATCAGACGAGTGAAAGTTGTGAGGTGTGGAGTAGGAAGATAAATCAGACAGGCACTGAGGTTGTTGCCAAGCCATGCACAGCCTTAAACCAGATAGGAAGCCAGTGCGTGAATTTCGGGACAGGAGTATTGTGAAGAATACCGTGCAATTAGCAGATACTACAGCTGTGCTCATCATTACTCTCAATCCACTTCATTCTAAAAGACACTTATTGAAATTGAACGACAATTTTTTCCTTGGCTAAATTGTAGGTCCTCAAAGGGTTGTTTTTCTGCCTAGCTTGCACTCGTCAATGGCGACTGGCCATACTGTTGCCGCTAACGACCATCATTCTAGGGTGACCACGTTGTCTGTTTTCTCGAGCAGGTGGTCGGTTGTGGGGCTGACGGACCAGTGGGTGCACGACAGAATACCCCAGTAAGGAGGCCTCGGCTGCCCTTTTTTTTTTCCTTGTTGTTTCTGCCACCCGCTCATCCGCCCCGGTCGGTAACGGCGGCCTCGCTCTCTTCCAGCATGAAGTACGTGACCGATGTGGCGACGCTGCAGCGGCACGTGTCCCGGCACAACCATCGCAACGAGGACGAGGAGAACTCCCTCTCCATCGACTGCATGCGAATCTCTTTCGAATACGAGTATCCTTCCCTGGCGGGGGTTTGTTCACAGCCTTGCCGGTCGGCGCGAGGGCCTCGTGAGCTTTATTTGCGGTTAACCATTTGAGTCTGACCCTTAAGATGTCAATTTCACTCCATTCCCACACTCCAGTGGAAAGGTTTAAATGCGCCAACTTTTCCCCTATTGTGGAGAGACGCCCAATTTTAATAAGCGTCCGAGACAGAAGTCAAACTTCCCATTTCAGACCGTTTGGACTTCATACATGGGGAAATTGTCAGGAACAGTAAAACATTTCTTGTGATTGTGGTTTGATTTTCTTAATGCTTTCCCTGTGTTCAGCTCGCCAGCACAGATGGGGGGGGGGGGGGGACTACAGTAAAACAATAAAAGATAAAAGGGGGTCACAGCAGCCCCAGATGTAAGACGCCTATTCTACAAGCAGCACTGAAACTCCTCAGTGATGTGCAGCATCCCAGCACTTAAGAGTGGCTTTACCGGGTTTCTGTCCGCCCTGCGGCTGGCCAGCGCCGTGCTGGAAACCCTGTGCCGCTGTTGGCCTCCTTGACCGCGTCTCCCAGCCTGCGCCTGGCCCTGTACCAGCACTGGTCTCTGTACGAGAGCATCTGCAACTCCTGCTACACCTCCTCCAGCTTCAAGCTGTGGTCGATCCACGGGCAGAAGAAGCTGCAGGAGTTCCTGGCGGATATGGGGTGAGCATCCCGCGCGCCCCAAGACTGCTTAATATTGCAGAGCAACGTCCGATGTGATGGACAAGCTTAGATTTAGGTTTTTTTGCCCCCCCACATTGTTTCAAGAGATCAGATGAATGCACCTTAACAAAGCACAGACCCTTTGCTGTATAAGGACACTTTGTAGTCATTGTGTGATATATTTTTTTAAAAAATATAACTCCCGCAACTGTGCGGCTTTCCTTTTCAGAGCTTTTGAAATGAAGGGCGTTCTGGGTCATTGGTGACCCAGCCTTTGTCCTCAGCCTCATTCATGTCATCAGCGTTTGAACATTGTGTAGGGGGCGTAGTTGGGGAAGGGGGGGGGTGGGGTTTCTGGTTTTAATTCTGTTTTTTGCGTTTCTCTCTCTCGCTCACACACAGCCTTCCCCTCAAGCAAGTGCGGCAGAAGTTTAACTCCATGGATGTCTCCATCAAGGAGAACCTCCGCGAGGTCATCGAAGAATCTTCAAATAAATACGGGTAGCGGCCTCGTTTTCCCGGGATCTGCATTGTGCTCTCGGCCGACGTACAGTAGAAGGCCAGGGGCTGCGAGCAGCCTTGACTGACCCGAGGTGCGTTTCTTTTTCCCCTCCCTTTCTGTCCCCAGCATGAAGGATATCCGGATACAGACCTTCGGAGTCCACTTTGGCTTTAAAAACAAATTCCTGGCCGGCGACGTGGTCCACGCCGCTTCTGCGCTGCTGGAGAACGTGGAGAGGGACGAGAAGGGCACGGACAACTTCATCAAGGCCTTGGACTGCCTGTCCAGGTACTGTCCAGGTTTTGTTTCCGTCTCCCTCTACTGACAGCCGCCTCAGAACGAGTCGCTTGTGCCCAGACTCCTCAGAGGGTCTAAGGCCACTGCAGTTGCTGTGAGCATCAGTGTCTAAGGATAGCCAGCAAACTAGAAGACTTCTTGAGTCTAGACCTGCATGTAAACCCATCCATAAAAACAGAAGTTGCAGGTTGTGGGTGCTGGGGCTCTGCTGGGGCTAAAAGGGGGCACTGTCCATTTATTTTCAACTTCCACTGTGTCAGTGTTTAGCTTATTCAATAACAAGTTAACGGGCTTGACCCATGCAGAGCCCCGTGCTGACTTGTAGACCGAACACTGCGTCTCCTAAAACCCCCGGAATAGATCTGTCGGCTGTGGCGTGATCTAATTGTTTAATTGCACAGTGTGGGTTTTTATCCCCCGCCCCCATTCCATCAGTTTGAAGCATACCCCAGAACGGCGATCGCACGTCTCGAGGACGTGGGATTCTGAAATGTGCGTTGTTGTTGTTTCTTATCTTCCCTGCCGCAGGAGCAACATCGAGCAGCTGCACCAGGGGATCGACCTGGGGAAGAAGAAGCTCATGGCGGTGCAGCAGACGGTGGCCAGCTGTATCTGCACCAACCTCATCATCTCGCAGGGGCCCTTCCTCTACTGCTACCTCATGGAGGTGAGGCCCAGCGCTCGGGCCTAGAGCGGAGGCCATTGGGGTCCTCAGGAGCCGGCTTCACTGTCCCTACAGGCCGACTGTCAGATATGAGCATCCTGCTAAATCGGAAGGCCCTCTGAAACTGAGGGCCCGGGATATTGGTACTGTGGTCGTGAAGAAAACTCAGTTCAGGGTTTACTGTCCCCCTGGTGGAAATGTCCCTTACAGCAGAATCCCAACACGACAACAAAAGGACAGACATCCCCAGCAAACAGTACAGCACAGCGGTGCTTCAGAGATAAGAATTATTTTATATTGTTTTGGAGCGAGATTGCAGAGAGGGACAAAAGAGTTCCTCCATCTGTTGACATGAAGGCTGCAAGTGTTTGTGTGTTTCTATCACGGGGGGGGCTTCAGGAAGGGTGTGATAAGAGAACAAGTGCTGGTGTGCCTGCAAGCAAGGGACGGGAGTATTCCCTTCTCCCCAACCTGTCTTTTTTTTTTTTTTTTTTTTCTGGTCTTGCCGATCTGATTTTCCTGTTCGCCGTGTCTGGGTTTCTGCAGTGCGTTTTCATGTGCGGTGCAAGGCTGAGTTTTTTTTTTTTTTTTCCCCTCTCTCTGCTTCAGGGGACCCCAGACGTGAAGCTCTTCTCCAAGCCCCTGTCTCTGACTCTGCTCAGCAAGTACCTGCTGAAGGCCTTCGTCCGCTCGGTGAGTGAGGCACTTTGGATCGGCGGGCGGGTGTGTTCATCGGCACGCGCCCAGCCGGACCGGCTAATCGCCCTCTCCTGCCTCTTGGAGCACTTGGGCTCTGTGCACGCCGTCTGCGTCTTTGCAATCCTTATACCAGCAGTTAAGCACTCCGGGTGGCGGATCCTTGTTTATTTTTGTGTGGAGCTGTAGGGGGGTGGGAAGGGAGTGGGGGGGTTGCTCACTAAATTCACCGCGGCGGCTCTCTCTGCCCAGCAGACGAGGAATAAGCGCTGTAAGCTCCTGCCGCTGATCATGGCCGCCCCGCTGGACACGGAGAAGGGCACCGTGATCGTCGTGGGCATCCCGCCAGATTCGGAGTCCTCGGACAAGAAGAAGTAAGTGGGTGCGCGGATGTGCCCTCTGGCGGGCAGAGCTCTGTGTTCGGGAGCACGAAGGGCCCCATTTCCAAGGGGACTGTTTGGCCCGTCTCGCTTGTCTGGTGCTCAGTGGGTCATTGATCCCAGGATGGCATTGTGCTGTTGCTTAATTAATCCCGGGGAGCTGCATTCAGTGGCTCAGCGGGGTACTTAATGTTCAAGCAAACCTGCCAGGACCCCGTTATGTGAAGAAATTCTTTCCGTCATCAGATCTGAATGCAATTTCTTAACATCCACTTGTGTTCCGAAGATTTGTCGTTTTATCCAAGTGAGCAAGTCCTGGGAGACGTACCCGGCAGCTGCTGTATATTGTTCTGCAGCTCCCAGCTGGCAGCCCACTGAAGCCCAGCAGTGTGAGCCTGGCCAGTACCTGGAGGGTAGACTCCTGGGAAAGCTAAGGCTGCTGCTGGAAGAGGTGTTAGTGGAGCCAGTAGGGAGCGCTCACCCTGCGGTCTGTGTGGGTCTTAATGCCCCAGTATAGTGACAGGGACACAGTACTGTAAAAAGGCGCCGTCCTTTACATGCAATGAAAAACCAAGGTCCTGACTCCCTGTGCTTAGTTAAAAAACAGGGATTTTCTTGAGAAGAGCAGGGGTGTTACCCTGGTGTCCTAGCCAAATTTCCTCCTCAGCCTTTCATAATCAGTCTTCACACTGATCTGGCTTCATCAGTCTGCTCTCCTCCCCACTGAGAGCTGGTGTGTGGGGAGCGGACTGGTACATCATCCAGGTGGGGCTGCAGGGGATCCCTATTACCTGGAAAGTGCTTTGAGTGGAGGGTCACCCCAATGATAAGGGATCATGATCATGTAAAACCAAACCAAAACCGGAATTGGAAAGTGCTATGTAAGTGTAAGGATTATTTATAAGTGATGTTTAGTTGGGATGACTTTGGCAACTGGGTCTGAATAGTTTTTAGTTTTTAATGGTTCCTTAGAGCCTCTGCTTCAATCCCCTCTGCTCCGAGATTGTTAGAGGTTCAGTTCCTCTGGTCTGTGCGCGTTCCCTGCGGCGCTGACAGGAATCGGAGTTTCCCTTCCCTTGTAAAGGCCGCTGGCTCACCCATGTCCCTTTCTCCCTCTCCCGCGATGCAGCTTCTTCGGCAGGGCGTTCGAGAAGGCCGCGGAGAGCACCGGCTCCAGGACTCTGCACGACCACTTCGACACGTCTGGTGAGCGTTTCCTTTTAACTTGTATCTGATTGAAATGTTTTTGGGTTCCTTCAGATACTCCCTCCTGCTTCCGGCTTCTTAAGAATCCAGTACTTACAGATCTGCGATTGAACTATTCAAATCTCTGCTAAGAAGCATTCCAGCCACTACAAATGCTGCTGGTACTCATACTCTTTTTGCTTCTTTTAATGCCTCTCAGGATTCCTGTTTTTCTGGACTCGGCAGTAAAATCTGTGAACATCTCAAGTAATTCAAGGCCGATATGTGCCACTAGGGGGCAGGCCACTGCCATTATTCCCTTGCTGAACAGACCAGCTCAATGCATTCTGACCACTTGGGTGTGTCTCTTGCCTGCACAGATTCTGAGTTTTGCACAAAAGCTTAGAAGAATCAGTTTGTCCGGCCTTTGCCAAACTCATTACTCGTCCCAATATCTACAGCACAGACCTAGCCTGGCCGGAGGCAAACAGAAATGCTCGCGCGCATTGGAGGGGGGCTGTGAATTGAGCAGCTCGAGCACAGGCCACGAATATACAGTGACGAAGTTGTGCTCTGCCTGTGTTCCAGTTATCGAGCTCAAGACCGAAGACAGAAGCAAGTTCCTGGATGCGCTGATCACACTCCTGTCGTGAAGGTGACCAGGTTTGCGTTTTTGTCCCCGAGTGTCTGCCCTCCCCCACTGCACAGCTGATCAGGAGAGGGGGTGGGGAACTAATTTAGTGAATTATGGGTGAACTTCAGAGAGGTCAAACTGGACTGGACTGGAATTCAGCCAGAACAGCCTTAAAAACTCTTACAAACAGCTGTAAGTTCTTTAATGACAGTTCAATGCCTCAATTAAATGAATCGCCCAGAGGTTAGCACCTCCTACAGTACAGTGTGCCCTGTCTCCATACTGGGGCCTTGGCTTTAAAACTCTGGTGCAAAGGGAAGAGTGCCCCCTACTGGTCCACCAACATCACTCTGGTTTTAAGGGGAGCTGCAATGCTATCTTTATATTGCAGGGTAAGCAAGATGAGTGCATTTCAAACCACAGTAAAAGTAAAATGTACACAGTAACTTGTAAAACCTTCAATTTACGTCACAAAATAGATAAACTTTCCAGGTACACGCAGCACCATGTTCTGTAATTCAGAACGAGGCAACGAGACTTCCTGAGAAGTGTTGTTGCCCTATTACATTGTAAACAAGCAGGGCTTGTGAATACATATTTTTTTAATCCAACAGAAATATTGCTCTTGACTCAGAGATAGTATTGCCGACAAATACTACTCATTTGTTAACTCTGCCTGCAGATCATGATGGGACATTTCTGCAGTGAGATATCTGCTGCACATTATGTACTTATTCACTCGTAAATCACATTGCATCAGTCATTACAGTGACTAGTGAGCAGGAAGGGCAACACCACAATTCGTGGGAGCTCTCGCCCGTGGGGAGACCACATGCCTACAACAAAGTTCACGGTTTTTCTGCTTAATTTGAAGTTTGTATTTTCTTTTCCTGTAACATCAATTAATTTATTCCATTGCAAGATTTAATAATTGGTCTGAGAAATTCGGACTACAGGTCCCCCGTTCTGACCCGAATCAGGCCTGTTCTGGCGTGTTTCTCTACTGATTCTGAAGTTGTTTGCTGGGTTGACTTTGGGTGTCAGTGCCTTTGAGGATTTTTGTTCAAGGCTAAAATTTATATCTAGTTTAAGGTGATATTTTATGCATTTTTTTTTTTTTTTCTAGGATTCAAATCTGGGGGAAGATCTTGTACAGTCGGGTGCCAGTTTTGTATGTACATTGTAGACTTGATTTTTATGTTTTGTTTGTGTAACCCATTGTAAATACTGTGTACGTGTAGCATATTGGAGAATAAAATATGTTAAGCTTTTAATCTCTGAAAAGTAAAAAGTTCTAAGTTGCTGTATAGTAGAAAGCCACATGTCCTGTCATTGTCCATGTTACAGCCACCTGTTGTGCTGTAGATTAGATTATTTCTAATACTTAAATATTAGGGTATCAGAAACAACAATAGGGATTTTCATTAAATGTTCATCAAAATCAGAAATTAAACCTTGTTGGCTTTATCAAATTTATCTATAACGCCAAAACCTTTGCAATTACAAAATCACTTCAATTATGCCATTTGAGGTCAAACTATGAGTTAAATTCTTTGATACCTAAAACGTCTGGAATTCAATATTTACAAACACTTGAGGATGAGGACTATTATTGTGAGACTGCAATTATAAAACCCCCCCTGTATTTCCTGACACTCCTTGTGGGGGGGGGGGGAAGTGTTTACCAATAGGATTGTAAAAATTCTGGACTCAGAGACAGAAATCATGCGGTTTCCTTGACCCATTCCTGTTGGATAGCACTTCCAAAACAGTCCTCCTTCAACAGGAAATGAGCGCGCAGGCTGATTAACGTGTTTTCATTCCCAGCTGGGATCACGCTAATGACCGCTGAAACACAGAGAACCCCCGCCACTAATTAACAATGTCGACTGAAGGCAAACTTCCAAAAATTAGAGCAAAGTTCATTTCAACAGGCCCGAGAAAACCTCTGGCTGTGCCTCCCTTGTGCTGTTGCTCCTGATCTTTCTCTTTTTTGTGCATCCCAGAAACGATAAGAATAGTTCCTTCGTATGAAACATGTTTCGCAAACCTAGTGCTTGATACAGCCCAAATCCCTGCTCCAGTTCCAGCAGAGGAAGCAGTGAAGGCTGTTTTCTGGTGCTATTATACAGACAACTGGATGGATGAATACCCTCGTTCATTTATTTCCTTTTTTTTAATTGTCTGATGGTAGCCTGCCCAAAGGGGTTGGGCAGCCAGTTGACCTTGGACCCCTAGAAGTTTTTTTTTCTCCTTACTAAGGAGTTTTTGGTTCCTCTCCTCCGTTGTCTTCTGGTCTTTTCGGTTCTGTATTCACAACACGTAGGGTCACTTGCATCGTTAAGCAACCTTGTTGTGAAAGGTGCTATATAAAAATGGAATTGAACATGTTCCGTATGATAGGTCTGAGTAACCCTATAAAAATGTACTCTTCTGGTAGTTCATTTTAGGAAGAACTGAGCCAACTACCTCTGCTACCTCGTCGGCATCTTGCAGGAGGACTCCTCATATCCAACCCTGGTCACGGAGGGGCCCGGGAGTTTCAGGATAAGCCTCCAGTGCTCCTGGCTCCTGCTGTGGAGTGTTTTGGCACAAGAGCTTGACAACCTGCTGCCACGACGTGACCCTTTCTTCTGTTTTCCAGTTCACTCTTGGCAGCTGTTCTGGCTGTAAATTCGGGATGTTTTGAAAGGCATGCACCACCTGTGCTCCAAATCCTCATGTTCTCTTTCAGCTTTTGTTTTGTTTTTTTTTCCTTAAAAAGATTAAAGGTATAATTAGAGGTGTATTTATAGGAGTTTAAAAAAAAAACAAATGTGGAGGAAGACGAGTCCCAGCACAGTCCCAGCACAGTCCCAGTTCTCCAGATCGCAACGATTCGTTTCAGGTACTTTAAAAATAGACACCTGGGATTATAGCTTCTTGCCGTTTAAGATATCAGTTTTAAAGGGACTTCACGTCCGTTCTTCCGCATTTGCAATTTTCCTGCCCACTAATAACGGGGTCTGATTGCGGGCAGTGGGTCTGACGGCAGGACCGTGGAGCTTTGTTTCTGAAAGGGGCTGGGCAGTGCTGCACCGGTTCTGAGCCGGTTTACTCTGGGCGTGCATGAGCTGCTGCGCGCAGCAGGATCTTCGCAGTAAGCCGGCCCAGGTGCCCTTGGCCTTCTTACTGTACTGGCCTCGCTGTACCTGAGGCTGCGCTCGTCCTGAGGGTGAACCGGATCTGACGGTTCTACACTCGTCTCATTAAAGAGCAAGATTTCAACAGTTGCCCACGGTGTTCTTTGAAGCTGGTATTGATGTTATTGAAGGCTGTCCATGTTCCTGGAGGTGGTGGGGTGGAGGGGAAGCCCACCGCTAAAAGAAGCGGACTCTGTTCGGCCCGACCCACGCGTTCGCGAAGTGTAAACTGTTCAGTCATCCTGCTGAAGAACTGAAATCCTCTTCCGATTCCCTTTGTACCCAAAGCGCAGGCCCTTAACATTGATCCCCCGTCTTACAAATAAACCAGGGATGGGAGAGAGTCGAAGCGTTTCTTTTTTTTCCCCTCCCGGCTGTGAGAAGATGTTTAACGAAACGTTAGTAAGAGACGCCACGCGGGAAAGCGCGAATCCGGAGTGACTCCGATTCTCTCGCTAGCTCTTAATCTGGTGAAGACAAAATCCCAACCCGGACGCGGTCTAAGGTTTTACTCTTCGAGCTGAAAACAAAACGAACCGGGTAGCTTTCTCTGCCAGCAATTTATTTCTGAATTCTCACCGGACTTGAGAGGAAAAAGCAACAACCGAAAACGACTAAAGGGTGGGAAGTTATTTTTTCCATCTATTTTCTACACAGGAGATGACAGGGTATTTTAAATTGCTGGTTATTTTTAGAAATGTTTCTCTGCTCCCCTCTCAAGTCGTGGCCAATTAAATTAATTGTGTTTTTAATATGCCTTTTTCATCGAGCATTTTTTATCCTCTCGTACTTCTTGAGACGTTTCCTGTGTGGATTGCTCCGTTATCGTCCGGTGCAAATGAGTTTCTGCTCATGAGCAGTTTTTAAAGATGTATTTTGCGGCCGGCTCGCGACGGGACCGTGCCACGCGTGGGACCCCTGCAAGGGTTTCGCGCGCGGGGCTCTCGTGACTGCGGCGCATCCACACGCACGGCCCTGTTTACAGCCTGCTGGGCGGGTAGCCGTCTGCCGCCCGTGTTTATTTTCTGTAATTGTTGTTCCGAACAGGGCAGGGGGTAGAACTGAGCCAAATAATTGTTTATCTGCGCTTGTCTTGGAGGAATATACAGTGACGATAGAGGCGAACGCGCTTTCTGGAGGGAACCGCCCACGCCGGGCTTCTTGCGTGGGGGGGCTGATTATCACGGCGTCGGGAGCAGCTGAAAGCTTTTACCCTGATAAATTAGGTGCCCGACCGAAGCTGAGGTGCGCAGTGGGGTGCAGGCGTGTTTCTCCTGAAGAGGGAGCTCTGGGCAACGTCCTTAATCTGGTGCGGTGACCTCCCGGAGATGTTCCGGATTTGTAATAATAATAATAATAATAATAATAGTTCCTTACACTTCTATAGCGCTTTTCTGGACACTCCACTCAAAGCGCTTGACAGGTAATGGGGATCCCCTCCACCAGCACCAGTGTGCAGCCCCACCTGGGTGATGCGCCAGTCCTCTCCCCACACACCAGCTCTCAGTGGGGAGGAGAGCAGAGTGATGAAGCCAGTTCAGAGATGGGGATTATTAGGGGCCATGATTGGTAAGGGCCAAGGGGAAATTTGGCCAGGACGCTGGGGTTGCACCCCTACTCTTTTCGAGAGACACCTGGGATTTTTAATGACCACAGAGAGTCAGGACCTCGGTTTTATGTCTCATCCGAAGGATGGCGCCTGTTTACAGTATAGTGTCCCCGTCACTATACTGGGGAATTAGGACCCACACAGACTGCAGGGTGAGCGCCCCCTGCTGACCCCACTAACACCTCTTCCAGCAGCAGCCTCAGCTTTCCCAGGAGTCTCCCCTCCAGGTACTGGCCAGGCTCACCCTGCTGGGCTTCAGTGAGACTGCCAGCTGGGAGCTGCAGGGTGATGAGCGGCAGAGCAGAAACGGCTGTTGCGCGCGTGATGTCTTGCGCTTCTGTTCACGAGGGGCACGGTGCCGCTGCGGGAGCAGTCCTTCCGGTTGAAGCTGTCTCGTGGCGCAGCATCAGTGGTGCATCGGCACGGCTTTCAGGCTTTCCTCTCCCACCGCCCCGCCAACCCGGGGTTACGCCGTGCAGAGAGCCGGTATCAAAGAAACGCTCGGAGATCACACCCATACCCCTGCCGGTTAGGGTTCGGGGGAGAAGGAACCCCCTTTTCATTCAGTGTCTCCGAGTGTGAAGTCTAGAAATCTAACGCACGGCCTTACAGCCCCGCTACTTCCGAGTTGGCAACAGGTGTGGAGAAGCCCAGCGATGGCTTGTAACTGGCGCGGGCTGTCTCGATTCATACCCGCAACAGGTGCAAGTCCACGGCTCTTCTGCCCTTTTTTTTCTTTCGGTACATTCCCACGTTCAGCCCGTCCTCCTTGCGATCTCGCCCATGAAACCAGGCGACAGCGAGTCGAGCTCGGTTCTGCGTCCGAAATTTGCAGCTTTTGCGCCGCGTGCCCCCGTGGAATGCGACAGCAGCGGCTAGCGTGGGGGGCATTATTATGCTGAAACGGGGCAGAGGGGTGAGTCGGGACTCGAAAGCCGGATCGGTGCGAATGCATCTCCAGCCGCCGCCGCCGCCTTCTTTAACACAACACGGAGTCGCGATTTCCAATCGCTGCGCCGCGGGGGAGAACGACTCGGCCCTGAAGAACACAGCCGCGTCGATCCTGAGCCGCGTTCGCTGCTAAGTTTGATCCCTGAGTGCAAGGCCGCAGGCCGGAATCGCTGGGCTGGGAAAGACAGAGGAGGGATTCCTGGCTGGATTAGCGGTCCCCCGGCCCGGCCCGGGGCCCGGACAGTGGGGCAGTACTGTTGCCCTTCCGGAAGGGGTCAACGGCGGTCATTCCCGGCTCTGTCCTCCCCCCCTCCCCCGGTACGAGAATCTGCACCTTCCAATGCACTGACCCCCAAATTCACCTTCACCCCGAACACGTTCCGAACACCCCACCCACTGTTGGGCGTCGTATGGAGCGGAGGTTGTTCGCTAGTTATTAAATACCCCGGTGCTATGAAGAGCTGTGAAGCGCACTGATACTGAGGGAGGCCAGCCGCCTGGCCTGACTGTGACGGGCCCGCTGTGATGCCGG